GGGATGACTTCTAGCTTTTCAGTTTCTATTTCATGCAAATGTTAGCATGAACTAGCATTTCATAGCCTTATGTATGAAACTTGTATTCTTTGATTCTAAATATGTAAAGTGTACATAAGTACACTCATTTTCATTGTATTCATCATGTATAAGATGAGGCCGGAGGCCAATGACATGTAACTTGTATCCTATGTACTTTTATTCTCAAAGTTTATTACGAAAATATTGAAAAAAATCACAAGTCTTTGTCTCATAACTTTTGCATCGGGTATAGAAATTCTATTCTTTCTTCTTCATAAGGTTTCTATAATCGTGTATGAGGTGTGGCTAAGGGCCAAACACCATTTCATTTTAGGTTTCTCATTTTGCTTTCATTTATTCCATTTTTAGGCCTTTTTGGCCATTGAGAGCTCAAATTTTGCATTGACGATATTTTAAAGCCGCGGACCATTGAAACGCGTCTTAAATGTCTTTTTACGTTTGCGTGCATGTTCACATTTCACAAAACTCTTAAGTTTCATCTTTTGACCTATTTTTGGGCGATTTTATGAATTTTCATGAAAAATTCCTCCACGGGGTGTCATTTTGGGTTCCCTCTTGTTTTAGCATGTTTTGAATGTTTCAATAATGCTAAGAGATGTTTTCAAACTTGTCTGGATCATGTATAAAGCTTAGATAGCCTTAGAAATGGACCTAGCATCACACACACACATTGCAGCAACTTTTAAAGCAGCAGCAGATGTGTCGGCCGGTTGATGTAGCTTCACCAGTCGACCGATGCTCCTCGAGACCCATTCCAGTAGCTAAAATGGCGTTTCGGCCGGCTGAACATTGGGGTTCGGTCGGCTGATGATTGTCTTTCGGTCGGCTGACCCTTGCTGTCGGTCAACCGATCCTCCCTGGAGCTCTGTTCTTCATCTTTTCCTTGGACAGTTTTGTTGTTCCGACTTCAGAGGGTTTATCTCACTCATTTTAAATCCAAATTGAGTCATTCTTGAGTCTAAGTTCGAGAGCTCGAAGTTAGCTTTCCATTGGTACCAACCATACTCTAGAACTCCACCTATAGTGAGAGTTATTTCAGTTTTGGTAAGATAGGGTCGTGCTGTCTCATAAACGGAGGATGCCTCTTCGTTCTAAATTCGTATCTTTTCCGTCCGGACTCCGAATCAGGTGATTTTTAAGTCTAAGTTCATTAATTTTTCGTTGTCTTTCCAATGATATGCTCGATAGTGTCCATATCATTTTGGAAATGACCATTTTTCCCTTTGGTTCATTCTTGTCCATTTGTGAACCGTTGCTTCTGCACTTATTTTCTTTGAGTTCCATGGCTTCATGGGGAGCCATCTTGGTGTCTTAGGGATAATGCACATCTCTAGAGGCCCTTTTTACTTCTTTTACTTCCGCATCTTAGATCCAGTTCAGGTCATCACAGTAGACACTGGGTTGAAAAATCCAGGGTTGTTACATACATAATTTAATTAACACAATAATGCATGGAAATGAATCAACACATAGCCACGTAAGCCACTAAAATACAATAAAATAAATAATAAAATTCCAATTATATTCTTTTTAAAACTAGGGGTACTACACCATGCACAACCAAGTCATGGAATACACACATGCAAGATATGTTCTAGGCCTTCAAGTTATAATGGCATCTTAAATGTCATATAAGTATAATGTGTATATAACAAGTTAAATCATAACTTCTACTCATGGAATATCATTTTGTAATCATACATCAAGTTGCAAATTATAAATTAAGCAATAATATAACATTAATACTTAATTACCTCAATGAAAGCATATAAATGGAACTTAATTAAATTAAATAATTGAATTCTCAAGATTTCAAAGCAACTCCAAAAATTCTAAATATAATATATGTCAAAGGTCATAGTAAGGCCTAATTTAATTTCAAGTTACAAGCCAAATCTACCTTAGTTACAACAAGGTAAATTAAGATCAATACCAAGAAAATAATTAAATAAATTTCTTAAAACTTATTCAAATATTCTCTATTTAATATATATGAAAGAACTTGTCAAGATAATCAACAATATGTAGTTAGAAACTTAAACAAGTCATTGTAGCAATTAAATAAAAATAATTAAATTAAAATGATTAAATCTCTAGATTTTAAAACTACTCTAATTAACTTCATATTAAGGCAAGTTATAAATCAAGTCATGGCCTTCAAGAATATCATGCCCTAACTTAATTTCATGCAAGACACAACAACCTATTAATTTAAAAATTAAGTAAAAGACATGTAAACAATTTATAGTAGACCACAAAAATAATTAAAACACCCAGATTAAAAACATAATTCACCCTTACCTCACAAGAGAATTGTTCCTCTTGAATCCAAAGCAAACAAATGAATTTTACAATTTCCTTCAAGGGTTATATAGAGGAAGGTGAGGCAAGTATATTGTATTCCAAGCTTTTTAGTCAAAGGTGAGTGGAAGGAGATCAAAACCAAGGTTTTAAGCCTAGGTTAATGGTTTCCTTCAATGGTGGCTAAGGTTTTATGTGAGGAAGATGATGAAATTAAAATGATGTAAAAATGAAATATTATTTCCCTTTGGTGTAATCCTCCACTCACTTGGTTAAAGTAAGTCAATTACACCTAGTTTTGCACCATGCCTACACACACACAAAAGTTACACTTTAATTAGGAGCCTACACTTGTCATTAATCCAATGGTTCATTCTAGGCTTAATCTAAAGCCTACACTTGTCAACAATCCAAGCCAACAAATGCACCAATGCTAGGCCAACAAGTGAGTGAATCTCCACCCTCCACATCTTATCATTCAAGGCTTCAAAGTGTTAACCAATGAGATGCTTACAAGTGATCCAATGAGAGTGCGACACTTGTCACATTGGTAATTACAAAAAGGTCATTTAAAAAAATATTTACCAAAATAAATTACAAAATGGTTCTTAAAAAGAAAAATAATTATTTTTCATAATTACAAAAAAAATTCCCTAATTATAGTAAAACCCTAAAAGTGCTCCGAAAGGGCCTTGCCGGGTCTAGAAAAGTGAAATTTGCGCAAACATGCTCAAATGGTAAAACACCGTGAACCAAAAAGAACTGGAAAAAAAAATGGATAACGGAAGAAACGATGTTGAAAATCGAGTCCCGTGTAGAAAGATTTGTCCTATATAAGTTCGGCGGCAACCAGGGTCGAAAATTAGGAAAAACGACCGGAAGGAAATTCTAAGAGTTTCTGACTCGTGAAATGTAAAAATGAATTTTGTACGAGGATTCAGACTCAAAATGAGGCACTTTGTAATAACTTTCATTAATTGTACAATGGTCTCTCCAAGAAAGGATAACTGCAAAATTGCGCAAAATGAAAATATCTTCCAAAAGATATTTTCTTACAAACTCCTGAAATAAATATCTTTAAAAGATATTTATGAAAAATACCCCAAGAAACATCAATGTTTCTGAGGAATCTTTTCATCCACGCCCCTACGGGGAGAAAGAAACAACCGGCGAACTTTTCTCCAAAAGTAAAGTTACGCGTTTCGAGGAAATCAAGTGGAATGAAAACTCTTGAATTCAAAACTCAACTCCGAACTCGGAAAGTGAGGTTGTGCTGACAAAGTGACAAACGGAAAAAAGACGAAAAGTTAATAGTGTCCAAAAAACGAAAATGTGGAAATGACTCGATCCTTAAAGGAAGTTATCAATTCAAAGGAAAGAGTCTCGGAAATCATTTTCGAATACTCGAGATGACACTAAGTGATGAGTAACCGAACTTAAAAAAGAAAATTTAACGAAAAAAATTTATTCGTAAAATTTCAAAAAAATGAGAGGAAGGAAAATAACCGGATTATTACAAAAAATTAGTGGCCACCAAAAACAATTTACGCTACAAGTCCATAAGGAATTGTTAAAAAAAAAAATTTGTGGCAAAGGGCCAAGTTTTTTTTTTTTTAATACCGAAAACATACTTTTTGACAAATGTCTAAATGAATTTAACTCATTAATAATTTGATAAAATTCTCCCCAAAATGCAATATGCCTCCTGATAATATCTTTTTCTAAAAATTAGGAAAAATGTCCCACGTCTTTGTTTTATAAGCATTTACTTTATAAAAATTTACAAAATGTCTCCGGGTATTATCTTTTTCTAAGAATCTGTCTAATTATTTCTTTGTTTTCATTCTTACTAATGCTATTACTATTTAGGGTCAATTGAGTTAGATAGTTCACTAGACTACTACTTCATCTTTCTTTTTATTTATTTCATTTTATTATTTTTAATTTTTGTTATTGATAAGAAATACACACCTCTCTCACATAACCACTTTGTCCGTTCGGAACTCGAACTCTTACTATCCACTTTAGCTTTACCATTCAATTTAGAAAGTGATAGCAATTTGAAAGGTATATGAGATACCATTAGACTAGAAAATCTTCGGTGGTTCAATCGACTTTACTCGAGTTAAGTTCACGTCAAATTCAAACATACGTAATATTTTATTAATATATTAAAGATAATCAAATTTAGGCTATCAAAGCGCCTAACTTGAAGTGTCGAGCCAAACATTAAAATATTTATATATATAAAAAATTCAAACATTAAATTTTAAAATATAAAAATAAAAATAAAAATAAAAAATCAAGTCAGTTCAAAGCTCAAATTATAATCTAGTCGGACCCTTTTAAGTTGCACAACTTGCCCCCGAAACACCCAGGATGATAAGATAGGAGGAGACGAGAAATTATTAGATGTTCGTGATCTATTTGAGTGTCGATGGACTAATTAATGAGAACTTTTAATTATAAAACTTTGTAATTTATTAATACATTCTTTGGGAGTCATTTTCTGAATCCGAGAATCTGTATTTAACTGTTCTACCAAGTGTAACATCTAATCATTTTTCTGAGTAGACAACGTCTAGGAACAAACGGTGTCGTATTGGGAAGATGAAAATGAAACTGGTCCTTCCTTTTTTGGGTACAAACCGAAACAGAAGATAAGACAGTGAAGAGCAGAGCAATGGAGCCTCTTGCAACGACAAAAGCTTCGTCTCTGAGGTGGGGAATTCTCCGAAAGGCCTTTCTTCGTCGTCCTTCACCAGATCCTGGTACTCTCTCTCTCTCTCTCTATATATATCTATCTATCTATCTATCTATCTATGCATGTGATACGTGTTTGTATATGCTTATATGGCTAAACCATCGATATGGTTGGTCATCGTTAACTATTTTTTTTATTACCGTTCTTCGCTAGACCTAACCCATTAGTTTTTCATAAATTTAATTTCACATTATCCCCTATTTTGTTAAGTGCATATGTAGTTGATTTTGAATGTATATCTTGGTCTTCTGCATACAATAAATCAACAGCAGATGAACAATCCGATGTGGGAATTAGGCGGATTTCTAGGAAGACAACTCATGGGTTTAATTTGATTCCATGCCATTCCGTGGATGACCACCTTAAAGAAGATTCAGTTTCTTCTTCGGAAACAAACCACCCAGATGGTTCCAGAGATGCTTGTGTTTGCTACACATTGCCTATTGATAGTGGCCTCCAACTTTATCTATTGTGAGTTCATAATTTCACATTTTATGCTTGTTTTTCTTGTCAATTATGTGCTACGGTTCTTCAAACACTTGATATAGTGAACTCCATCTGCTAGATTTTGCCTGGTTTACATTAGAATAATATGTGGAGGTTTGCTTCACTGCTGTAAATTTTATATGTGTTTTTATTATTTATTTTTTTAAAGTATATATTTGTTCATTTCTTTTTAATTATGTATTTGTATAATAGTAGGCAACTAGGAAGTGGGTGTGTGTTTATGATAATGAAGCTCTAGTTGAGATTATGGTTCAATGAAGGGGGAGAACTGGTTTGGTTTGGTTTCAGTGGTTGCTAACTTGTGGAGTTTAATGCAGCCAGAGAGTGGAAAATTGTCCTGACCTCAATGATTTCGAGATCTGTAATAGTTATAATATTGACAACACCGGGCTTGTTTGTAAGTTCTCTTTGCACTTATGAGTTTGTTTCTTAAGAATCATTCCTGCTCACCAAGGGCCTTTTTTGAGGTTATTATTATTATTATTATTATTATTTCCTTCTCTCTCTTTTAAATCCTGTAGTTGAAATCTCAGTAGGATGATAGCTAGTTGAATTCCCCTTTATTGCGAGAGTGGGTAACCATATGCAACCTGAGTTCTTGTAGTGAATTTGTAATGCTGGTTTAAGTTTAGAGAGTGGTTCTCTCTCTCTCCTAGATAGAAAAAAATAAAAAAATAAAATGTATTAAGAACCAGATACAATGTAACGGGGCACTACCCTTCTTGTATCTTCCGCATAACTTCACAAGCTTGCCAAGGAATATTCTGATACCAAATGCAATTAGAATTACTGTACAAGCCATGATTGTCTAATAGTTTTCTATCTTTGTGGCTTCCACTAAAAATGTGTTGAAACCTTATCATCTTGAAAACCCTTGCCATCTCCTTGATGTCTTCATTTAATCCCCAAGTCCTCCAAGGAATTTTCAAGTTCCCTTTAACAACCTCAATAAGACCTTGTAGTTCCCTAAACTGAAATTTCTTCTATTCTCCGTTATTCTTTGCCAACCTCAACCCGTCTCTCAAATCTTTGCATTCCTAAACAATTATTGATGCCCCTTCAAGCTTTGACATGGTGCCAATTAGGTGCTTACCTTGGCGTCTCTAACAATGGTTCCCATTGCTCCCTTACAGCTTTACCATCTTCTTTACATACCGACCTATGAAAATTAATGTTACATTGTGACTGGCTTGGTGACTCCTATTTTGGAAAAAGCATTCTTCCGAACCTATTGAAACCAACTGTAAAGAAAAGAAATTATCCAAGTTAGTACAATTCATAAATTTGTTCCAATGCTACTCTTTCCACTTGATTATAATGACCTGGAGCTTTATTGGAAAATTAAACATCATTCATTGGATAATGTAACTGCCATTACCCATTAGGAATCTGATATTTTACAAAGAAAAAGGACAAATCTTATCCATCAACTTATTTTTTTAACAAACATACTCTAACCAGTCAATAATGAGAGTTATTTCTTTTGTTTCCAAGATATAGAAACTCAAAACCAGCCTTTCTACGTCCTTCCCTCTTTTTCTTTATTTTTCTCTCTTTTATTTTATAGGTATTCCTATTCCTTGTATTATAATTTTTTTGTTTAATAAACCAGAATCACCAGATCAATCAGCAGTCAATTCAGAATATCAATTTGCGTCGTTTTCTATCTCGTTGAGCTTCCTAGAGATTTCATGAAGTAGATGTTGTATGCTAAACGTATTGCTTTGAAATTTGTTTGTTCCTAGTTTGCCTTCTGCAACCCCAGTGACCTTTGGGAAAAATTTTGACTGCTATTCTTCATTAAAGGAGTATTGTGACAAGTTGAGACTTGAAATACATATTTAAGCCCATTAGTACCATTATTCATGTTTTTGTGAAGGGAATCTGATTTGCAGACTTAAGCATCAGTATTTTGATACTTAGATGGCCTGGATGAAACTCATGGTCACACCTTGTGTACATAAATCGTTTGTCCTTGTCAATGCCTTTATGTGTTTTCTTCATTGATGACCTAATCATTTTTAGTAACTTACATTCATATATACACGATGAGGGAAACTTGTCTATAAGGTGGTTTTGGTCATGTGCAAAGAAGAGCATTATATGCACCATGGTCGAGAGTAGTTTCATTCAAGTTAAGGTGTTAGAAGGAGATCAAAAAGAATGTGGGGGTGAGGGAGCATTTTCATATCTGATGTAACTGCAAATAAGGTCCTAGATGTGAGTGAAACTTAGCAAGTAGTTAGGATTTAAGATTTTGTTCAGTTGAAAGGAGTTGTTTATTGAGTGTTAGGAATGTTAATATATTGCCCTTGCAATAACTTTAAACAGTTACTTCATTACATTTATTTAAAACATTTTGTTTTTGGGTGCTTAAGTGCTTTATACATTGAGCAATAATAATTTTTTTTTTCTTTTTCTTGTATTGTTTGTAGTAAGCTAGTACACCAATAGGCCTGTGGCCTAGCCGTACCAAGGCCCCTACTTCCCAAAGGGGGTTCGAACCTCAGTGCAGGCATGTGTGTGTGAGTACCAACTAGGGTAAAAAAAAAAAAAAAAAAACAACGTAAGCTAGTTAAATTTACCATCTCCCTTTAAGTAATGGTCATAGAAATTAAATTTTTATTAAACAAATAAGATATAGGGATTCTTACAATTTAAGCATTGGACAAATTTATAAAAGTTTTATTTACTAAAAGATTTCATTTACTAAAAGAATTCATTAACCATTAACATTTCCATAAATATACTTGTGTAAGTAATCTGCCTATTTTAGTGATATATTTCTTCTTCATCCACCATAAACCTGCTAAATATTTTATGAGCTTATGTATTTGGTTATCTTTTTGTTATTTTCCTACTTTTTCTTACAATGTTCACGTGTTTTACAGGTCATTGGCCATCTGAAAATGTCCTAGCTTATTATTGCTTAATACATGCAGACATGTTCAGGTTTGTTATATAACCTCATATTTCTACTGTGAATGTTTCTGTAGATCTTGACAGATTAACCTTTGCTTGTCTTCTATTGGTTGCTCGATTGCTATAAAACAATTTTCCCATGTGCATTGTACTTACATGCTTTTGCTTCTATACTTTCCTAATATTTTTAGGTCTAAAAAAGTTATTGAACTTGGATCAGGCTATGGCCTGGCTGGCTTAGTTATTGCAGCAGTAACTGAAGCATTAGAAGTTGTGATATCAGATGGAAACCCTCAAGTAGTTAATTGTATCCTTTTAATTTGGTCATGTTAAAAGTTTCTGTGTGAGAGGATCTAAATCAATGTGTCAGATTGACTTTGAGACCTTGAAGAACAGTATACATGCTGTAGTCCTGCAACTTATGGAACAAAGATATAAGGAGCGATGATAGCTAATAATAGACACTGTGCAATGGTCCCAGAATTCACCCATCTATACTTTTAAAAAAAATGATGAATATACCAGATAAACAACTTTATACTTGATAGTGTCATAAACAACTAGGTATCCCTGTGTCCTGTCTATTATTATTTTGTTAAATACTTTATGATGTCTTTTTGGTGTCTCACTATCTAGTCATTCTGTACTATATTTATTCATCTACAAGAACCTACTAATAATTTCATCCCTTAGGGTTTTATCTATCTATTTATTTTTCCTATTATTTGTGGAGGATACTTTATTTTGCAAACAAATTTCTGCTGCTGTAACATTTTTCAAAATCTTTCTGAAGAAACACCAAGATTGTAGCTGGATCGGGTTGCTTCCACTAAATATGCCAAGTATTGAAGATAGCTGCTCTTATTCTCTCAAGCAAAGCTCATCGAAATGCCCTTCTAGCAGGAGGCTTCCACACAAAATATTCATTGTCCTCATTCAATTAACAACCCAAAAATAATTTGTGATCTCTTATATCATTATAAAGCTTTTCCCTCACGAGTTCCATGTACAAAAACCATTTAGGACATCCTTAGCCATTATATTCTGTAACAAGGGTGGGATATCAATATGATTCTCATTCTCCATTTTCATTATACTTCATGATGCTTATGAGTTTTATTATACATTACCATAGTGAGATAAAAGTGAAAAGTAGGATTTATTTATTTATTATTTTTTCCATCTCCTTAGCATGTCACTTAATCACATGGTAAGATCTTCTTTAGGTTGCTGAATTGCAGTGTCTCTGAAAACTGTTATGCCGCAGGCATGTAGCGTGATTTTTATCTATGCTTAAAGAAAATATCTTTCCATTAGTGTCTAGTGGGAGGGTTTTGGGAGATAGATGGACATTGCTAGTATGGTGCTGGCCGATTTGTCATATAGTTATCTCCTGCCGTTGCAGCAAACGCATGATTGTCCTGTTTAGATTTTTAATCAGCATATAAATTTTTTTTTTTTTTTTTTTTTGATAAGTAAAAATAATATTAAAAAAGGCGTTCAAAAGGAGAACGCGTCCCAATTACAAAAGTGGAACCGGAGCTAAGGCCCCAAAGAATCCAGAAAAGTAATTAAATCATATGAAGAAGAACAAAAGCTCCTCTTCACATAATTGAAGAGAGAACGAAGAATGTAAAGTTTGACCGTTTCCGTAGGCGACTCTTTCCTTTCAAACATTCTGCCGTTTCTCTCATTCCAAATGCACCACCATACGCAATGTGGTACAATTCTCCAGAACTCGCGAACGTCTCTTCTCACTCGACAATCGCTCCAAATATGAATCAATTCCTTAGTAGATCGTGGCATAACCCAACACATGCCAAACAACCCAACAATAAGATTCCAACAGTCAATCGCCACAGGGCAATGCAAAAGGAGGTGGTTAACGAACTCCTCGCCATCCTTGCATTGACAATAGCGATTAACTATACAATTACCCCTTTTTCTCAAATTATCAATTGTCAGAATCTTTCCCCACACAGCAGTCCAAACAAAGAAAGCCACCCTAGTTGGAGCCATAGACCGCCAAATAGTTTTCCACGGGAAGTCTCGATTAACAAAATTTGACAAACATAAGAACAAAGATCTAACTTCGAAACGACCATGAGAAGAGGGAACCCAACTTAAAACATCATTACCTCTGCTAACGCCCTCTTGTCGATACAGAAGATCCAAAAAAACACATACCTCGTCAATCTCCCAATCCTGAAAAGAGCGTCGAAAATGCACATTCCATATAATCCCGCTGCTATCAAGCCGATAGCAATCGACTATGTAGGTGTGTTTATTAACGGTAATACTATATAGTCTTGGAAAAGTACGAGAAAGTGACTGATCCCCACACCAGAGATCTTCTCAAAACCGAATGCAACGTCCGTCATGGAGTTTGAATCTGATATGAGCCGAAAAAACATCCCATCCTTTCCGAATAGCCTTCAACATCCCTACTCCTCCCGCTAGGGTAACCGGACGCGTAGACCAACCTCCAGCTTCTTCGCCAAACCGACAAGAGACTAGCCTGCGCCATGGTCGATGTCTTTCCCTCCCAAATCTCCATAACCACTTACCCAAGAGAGCTTGATTGAAAGGAACTAAACGTCTTATACCAAGTCCACCCAATTTCACAGGCTTACAAACATCCTCCCATTTGACAAGGTGGTACTTGAACTCTTCGCCCTTACCACCCCAAAGGAAATCCCTTTGAATTTTTTCAATCCTGTTTGCAATGGAACAAGGGATTTGGAACATAGAGAGAAAATAAGTGGGAAGGCTCGACAAGGTGCTCTTTATAAGAGTAACTTTACCCCCTTTTGACAAGTATTGCTTCTTCCAACCTGCTAATCTCTTCGCGTACCTGTCAATCACAGAATCCCAACTCCCCACTAAGCTAGAAGAGACCCCTAGGAGCAAACCCAAATAAGGAATAGGGAATGAGCTCACTCTGCATCTAAGGACTGCAGCTAAAGAGGAAATATCCGGAACATTTCCTACTGGGACAAGCACACTCTTTGTCACATTGACCTTTAGCCCGGAAACTGCCTGAAAACAAGTCAGAACACACCTCAAGTGTCGAAGCTGAGACACATCAGCATCACAGAAAACTAGGGTGTCATCTGCAAAGAGTAAATGGGAAATCTCCATCTGATGGTCTAAATCTCTACCCACTCTGAAACCCTTAATAAAACCAAGGTCCTTTGCCCTATGCATCAGTCTACTTAACCCCTCCATAACAACAAGAAAAAGGAAAGATGACAAAGGATCACCTTGTCTTATACCTCTAGAGTAAGCAAAGAAACCGGCGGGAGAGCCATTCACAAGAACTGAAAACTTGACAGACAAAAGACAGGTCTCAATCTATTTCCTCCATTTACTTCCAAACCCCATTCTTTGTAACAAATAGAGTAGGAAACTCTAATTCACATGATCATATGCTTTCTCAATGTCAAGTTTGCATAGAACTCCAGGAATACCACTCCGCTATCTGGAATCCACACATTCGCCAGCAATAAGAACTGAATCAAGAATTTGTCGTCCGCCAACGAAAGTGTTCTGGCAATCCGAAATAATTCCATCCATAACTTCCTTCGTCCTTAAAGCGAGCACCTTAGCAATGAGTTTGTAAATGCAGCCCACCAAACTAATAGGACGAAAATCCTTTGTATCTGAAGCACCTCCTGTTTTTGGAATAAGGGCAATGAATGAAGCATTAAGCGATTTCTCAAAGACGCCAAAAGAATGAAACTCCTGAAAAGTACCCATTACCTCATTTCTTACAACCGCCCAACTTTCCATCAGAAATCGCATAGTGAAGCCATCAGGTCCTGGAGCTTTGTCCCCATTACAGCTTGAGAGAGCTTTAAGAACTTTTTCTTCAGTGAAAGGATTCTCAATCCTACCTCTATCAAGCTCAGAAATAGCCTCAAAATGGAGACCATCAAGTTTGGGCCTCCAATCTAAAGGCTCTGTGTAAAGCTTCTGATAAAAGGAAGCAATACCGTTATGCACCTCTTCCTCTCTCCACAACTCCTCACCATCCACCCGAATTCTTCCAATATGATTACTCCTCCTATAAGCGTTAGCTAACTGATGGAAGAATTTTGTGTTCTGATCACCTTCCTTTAACCAAACAGCCCGGGATTTTTGTCGCCACGAGATCTCCTCCATACTAGCAATCTCGGCAAATACCGCCTGACAAGAGACTCTCCTGGAACGAAGAGATTCCATATCCCTTCCGGCCTCCTCAAGACGATCAATCTCTGAAAATTCAGCAAATACTCTATTCTTCCTCCATTCCAAATTCCCGAAGACATCCTTGTTCCACTGCTTAAGAGCTAATTTGAGAGCCCTTAACTTCTTTGCAATTGTGAAACTGGGCGAGCCTGAAGAAGTGACTCCTTCCCACCAAGAACTGACTTTTCCTTGGAAATCATCCGCACGCAACCACATATTCTCGAATCTAAACGGGGATCTTTGAGAGCATAAACCCCCGCAATCCAAAACCAAAGGCACATGGTCGGAAGTGACCCTTTCTAACACCGCTTGAACAACATCCGGGAACTTCTCTTCCCAATCCCCAGAAATTAAAAATCTGTCCAGCCTTGATAGAGTTACTGGATCCCTACCATTAGACCAAGTATAAGCTGCTCCTTCCATTGGTAAATCAACAAGAAGATGCTCATCAATAAAATCAGAAAATTGATCCATTTCCAGAGATCTTCTTCCCCCTGTAGACCTCTCTGATGGGGATCTAACAGCATTGAAATCCCCTCCCAGGCACCAAGGGAAAGACCATAGTCCTTGGACATGGCGAAGCTCCTCCCAAAAGATAGGTCGAACATCATCAACAACCGGTCCATAGACTCCGGTAAAAACCCACTTGAAGTTGTCCTCTTCCATCTTAAACATGCAAGATAAAGAGAATCTTCCCATCCATACATCCGTTCGAGTTAACCATCTACTATCCCACATAACTAATATCCCACCCGAAGATCCTATAGCATTCAAAGCCTCCCATTCCACAAACCTTCCTCCCCACAAACTCTTAACCTCCCTGTCAGTAATGGATGCCAACTTGGTTTCTTGTAAGCAAACCAGCTGGGCACCCCACTTCCTTAAAGCTACCTTCACCACCCTTCCCTTGTTCGGATCATTAAGACCACGAACATTCCATGAAATGATTCGTAGCTTCATTGAAAACCAGATAAAATAATCTCCCCTCCACCCTTCTTGGTTCAAAATTGGGATTCTGTAGTCCTGACTTCTAAGCCTATGTGACCGGTGTCTTTATTGGTGATTAAACCATAAATTGGCAAAAGAAAATTTCATGTTGAACTCAGATATCTCAATATACTTCATACAAACAGTGCAACCACCCTCTTTTGTTATGGTTGACCTTCGTTCCAAGTCTTACTGTCGATGTTCCAGGAGGTTTTAGTGTCACTGACCATATTGTGAAACCTTCTAGGATCACAAGATGAGAATTGATTGAGAATTAAAATTGGTACTTAATTGAGGTGGTTTTTTGAGAGTATGCTCTTTGGCAATCTGAAAGGTTTATGCTCATAAAGTTCCTGGTCATAATGACTGCAGACACAACTGATTGTGGGGCACAATTTGAGTTTTGGGTTCTGAATGGCTAAAGCCCAGTTATTGAGCTATTGGCAAGCCTGGGTTGAGTTGGAGTTCTGCTAGAATGTTGTGAAGGTAACTTATACATGTGAGCTTGTCTCCAAAATTGACTTACGATACCTGTCGGATCCTTATATTAATGTAATATAGTTTTATGGATGCCATCATTGATTAAATGTGTATATTTGTATACTTTAGCTGCCAAAAAAAAAAAAAAAAAAAAAAAAGAAAAAGAAAAAAAAAGAAAAAATTGTATAACATAATTTCATAACGTCACTGATTAAATATTGCTTATATTCAGCTTTTCAATCTTCATTGCATCACGGTCATGAATTCAGTACATAGCCTAATTCAGACTCGTTAAGCTCATGGTTGTTTCGCGTCATGCTTATTTGTTGTAATTATTCCCACCTCTTTGCTAGTGTAAGCCACCTTTAAAATTGTTTTTTCTGGGTTCAAATTAGAGGTACTTAACATCCAGACATCCAGTGTAACATAAATGCAAACTCCAGTGCATATGGTGGTACAAAGGTGAAGTCTATGATGCTGCACTGGAATCAAGAAGAAATCTCGGATATTTCCAACACATTTGATGTCATCGTTGCAAGTGACTGGTAATTTACTTCTTACAAAACTAAATCCTCCTTGAACATTCCACTTTAACCAAGCATGTATCATGTTCCTATTTATGTCATCGTGCAAGTGAAGAGGATCATCGAATGTGTATCTAAGTGATGATTTGCCTTAATTTCTCCCATATACTAGCAAATACTTTCTGGAGCCAGACAATTTTGGATGAGGACAGAATGTATGGACATTGATGGCACTAGAATGAAAGTCATAATGGGTCTGCCCAACCTTTGCATTTGCATGACATTCCACATCCTCAATTCTATCCGATATATGTCATTTCCTGTTCCGTACATATATAATTGAGTCCATGAGGTGACTTAGATAAGAAAACTCTATGTTGATTTCAATCTTTAGTGACTTGGATATGTCTAGATAAACCACTTGTATATAACACGTAATGCATGCAAGCACTCACTGGCATGTTCTTTTCATCTTTACGTTAATATTATTTTCTTTTCTACTTTCTTGACTTTGCTTTGTCATTTTGGCAGCACTTTCTTTAAGGAATTCCACAGAGACCTTGCCCGAACTGTCAAATTCCTGTTAAAAAATGAGGGGCACTCTGAAGCAATATTTTTCAGTCCCAAAAGAGGTGATTCGTTGGACAAATTTCTAATGGAAATAAAAGAGGGTGGCTTGCATTTTAGTATAACCGAGATCTATGACACAGAAGTTTGGAGGCGTCATCTTGGGTTCATTAAGGGTGACGACTTCTGGCCCAGCTATGAGAAGGATCATTGCTACCCATTATTGGTCAGAATTTCTCTATGAACTCTTGAAGGTCATTTTTAGCATTTTCTGTACATGTTCCAGGTAAATGGGATTTATTTCCGGTGACAATTGGTTTCTCCTTCAATTGTTGGTAGACCCATGTGGTAGGCATTTGGTGGTTTCCTAATTCTTCCTTGACACCCATCCCACTGGTGGGTCCCAAAAGCACTTGCACCGCACGTTCACCACTGCATCCCATGGTCCTTACTGATCAAGTGTTTGCCATTCGGAAAGGAAAGCATCTAGCTTCCTGTTTTTGATTGATTCAATATATTAGTGATCGCTTCTTTAACATAATATTGTTTAGTGCACTGAAACTTTTCACATGCGAGAAGATTCCTTATCTTCAGTTGAGATCAAAATTACTTATTAGCTTTTTCATGATTAAACAAAGACTCCCAACTGAGATAATGCAGTAGAATTGTCAAAAAGAAGGAAGCTGGTGCTTCGTGAATGATTTTGAGTGGTACTTATTTGGAAGTGGGAGACTTCCAGAGACGGAGCTACAACCTCACATATATGTATATATATTAATTTAGGAAAAAAAGAAGTGTGTGTGTGTGTGTGTGTATATATATATATATATTAATTTTGATTGTATGTATGTACTTTTCATTAATTGTGAAGTTGCCCCATCTCAAAATTGTAAAAACCTCTTTTGTAATCAATTTCTCGATCCTGAGCCTTACAAGAGAAACCCAAAGTCTATAAGATTCTGACTTACTCCTGTTTGCTTTGATATTATATGTTGTGAAAAAGAACATGCCTTCTCTTGAATCATTGCCTTTAAGATAAGTGAAATCATATATTTCCATTTTATTTCTTCTAATTTTTGTATTGGTTCAATTTAGAAAGAAATATATTGATTGGTCTAGTTTGGCATAATGGTGCAAATCTGATTGAACTGATCGTTTGCCTCAAAGTGATTTATGGTCATTGATGCCATTAAATTAAATAGTGCTCTTTAGCAATTAATTGAGATTCTATAAATTAGATTAATTGATATTTGTGTAACCTCTGATCATCTGGTGCATTGATTAATTGATATTCGTGTGGAATCTCATTGTGTACTGCAACTTGACAATTATTTATATTGATTCAAAATCAAGGTCCATGAGTGGCATAGGAAATTACCCATATCATGTTGCCTTTATAGGGACTGTTCATATATATATTTTTTATAGCACCTGTGGTACCTACTTTATTATGTTTATGCTTTCTCAGTCATGGTCCTTCTCTTTTGAAACTGTTGGTTAGGGTTCCTGAGAGGGACCGCACCCACTTTTTGTTCCTAATCGGAGTTGAACCCTCGACCTTTCACTCAAGAAGGTAGAGGAGATACCAGTAGGTTACAACTTAGTCTAAGAGAGAGAATGTTCTATTCTTCCATTTTCTTGACAACCAAACGGTACACTGGTCCATACAAAGCTTGACAATCTCGAGATGGATTGGAAAGTTGAAATGCTAAGCACCGCTTAAAATGAATATAGTCGTCCCCTTATCTTCACAAAAAAGTAGGGTTGTTTCTTTCTTTCAATTTTGCTTGGTCGGTTTCCCAACTTTTATCGCACAAGTTGATTGCAGAACTAGATTCCTTCCTTGTAAAAGCCGCAGGAGCTACTCTACATCATGCATTTTTTGGCTTCTTCAACTTTATATCTCTTTCTCTAGCAATAGCGATGTCTGTAATTTTCCTACACAAGCAAGTGGATTATAATTATCGACAAGAAGAATGGTCCGAATGGTGTGGCCAGTGGCCACCACAGGTTTTTTCTTCTTTAAAGTCCGATTGAAATTCTTGTCGATCCGTCCACTGTGGAAAGAATTATGCTATATGAGCAGAATCGGCTTGTGTATAATTTTTCTTGTGAAAAACACTGCCAATTTAGGAGAGAAAGCTACGCGATGAATTGATAGAAACTGATTGAAGTGACCTCACCAAGAGACTGATCTTCTTGTGGTTTTCTTTCTTGTGGATTTTACATTTTAGAAGTACAATAATGTTCGCATTGGTTGAGTACTATGTTTGGAATTTGTGAAAGAGAATATGAAAAGAAATGATGATGGTTATTTTTTTGCAATGTTAGTTAGATGAAGCTTTCTGAAGTAGTGAAATACATGTGTACCAGAGACATGGTATTTAGGTAAAAGTATGCAATATGTATTTGATATGTATATTTGATGATTCAAGTTTGATATATAATTGTTAAAAAGAAAATTTTATTTTTAATCTACTCCTTTTTGTTATATATTATTTATATTTAAAATGAGTAAAGTCTTTTGTGGAAAAACAAATACACTATATGTTTTATAAAACATCACTTTGGATAATATGTGAGAACAAGAAGTGGAATCCCTTGTTTGAGAGTTTCAGGAGAGAAGAGGAAGGGGAGGAGGTGATTCATTAGCTTGTCTAAGGGTTTAAGTATAGATTTTATTTATTATTATTTTCATCTTTTTCATTGGTTTAAGTATAGGCTAGAGTCTTTGTTAGTTTAAGGATAGATGAAAATAAAATAAAGTCTAATCTTGTACCTGCTTTTGTCCCTAATGGGACTTGATTCCTTGAACTTTCATTTTACGGTGTACAAAATTCAGTGGCTGAGATTGAATCATCACTAGTGAGTCTCATTTATTTACTCAATCTCGATTACTTATTCAATCTCGATTACAGGATTCTATGCAGGACCTCTCCGCTGAGAAGAATCATTGTCCTACCACATTATACAAGTGATATAAATTAGGGTTAAATGGTGGCAATTAAGTAAATTAGAAACAAAGTCTGAAAAAGGGTAAATCAATCTCCCTCTACTTATTTTTTTCACTTTCCTCTCTGCTTCTTTCCTCTCCACTTTTCCATCTATTGTTTTCACAATTTCAAAAATATACTTTAAAAAGAATTGTTCTTTTTTGGGACAATGTGATGCTTATATAGTGATTTTGAAAATGACCCATCACCACTTTGCCAATTGAAAAGAACCAAAATCACTACCAATAATGACCTTAGTGTCCTTAGATATACATTTCTCATATTCTAAGTTGTATTTTATTCCGTCATTTCAATGATCATGTCAATTGTAACCTCCAGAGGGTGACCTTAGTGTCCCTAGATGCATGTTTCTCATAATGTAAGATGTATTTATTCCATCATTTTAATTATCATGTCAGGTGAAATCTCCAAAAAGCGACCTTTGAGCCCAAAAAATCTCCTCCTCTAAATCAAAATATTTCCAAAAAGCCACCGACTTCCAAAATTCCTACTCAATTTTCTTCACTAAAATGCTAAAAACATCTTAATTGATTGTCTAATCACATCAAGTTATGTCATTTTTGCTTCATTATTTACCCAATATCACTGATTTTTTCACAATTAACAACATAAACACTTATATATATATAATTGGTTCCGGAAAAAATTGAATCGCACACCTGTCGTACCCCTGCGAGGAAGATTGGATTCCACCGAATGAAATTGTAGTTGGTTCGTTTTGGTGAACACTTTCATGACTCCTTCTGTGTGTCTTTATCAACGCAGTCCACTTAAAACTTGAACCCTCAATCTTTCATCTCCGTTGATATAAGCGAAATTAAATGACCCAAAAAATAATGAAACTCTTTAGTTGAGCATATAAAGATGGGTCTTTATTTTTGCTTGTCACAACATTCTCTGCTTCATGGAAACTCACCAAGTACTACTTTATTATCATTTTGCTTTTAGAAGCAAACAAAGCTTAAAAGTGAAAGGAATCTCTTTTTCAATGTTTTGATAACAATTCAAGGATCAAATTCAGTTATTTATTTATTTATTTAATTATTAATATTATTATTAGTTTGGTAAGTAAAAATTTAGACCATTTCTCGATTTATCAAAAAAAGTAATGCTAATTGTCTCTCTATTTTTTCAATTTTTATATCGCATCGAATAGATGTCATCAATTATACCATTGTACTCGCGTGTGAATGATGAATTTCGTCCAATATGATACAATCGGATAGATTTTATCAATTATATCATAATGTAGTCAGTCTAATATGATACAAACACTCAAACTATAGGGTAAACGATGGTGCTTTAGCAACTATATGATTAATTATGATGATGTCGATCAATATGTGTCACATCATAAATTTTGTTGTACCGTCAAATACAAATGCCATTCAAGGTGTGTCACATTATGCAACTCCTGTACAACTTTATGTTTATGTCAGTGTCCATTCCGTGTATATATAATGGTTATGAATTAATGGACGACATGAAACAAAATAAAAGTTTTGATTTTTTTTTTAGAATTACCATTCAATGGTCCTAAGGAGTTGACCTCTTGAATTTGTAATTAAAAAATAAATAATTAAAATTTTAAACTTATTTTTTTTTTAAGTGTAAATTTAAGACGATTCAGTTTTCTAAATACAATAAATGAAATGCATACGAATTTGTGATTGATTCTTATGAATATATACACATTAAATGGATTAAAACATGTAAAATAGCCCCACAAAGAGTCCATCGTTCCTATTTGATTTTTGCTTTATTGCAACATACAAAGTGCTTTCAAAGAAAGAAAAGCATATAAATATGTACTTGTTAAACAAAAAGATCACTATACATAGTTTATTTATGCTAATTAATTCGAAAGTTGTTTCTTACAATTTGAATTTTGTCACGGTACAATCAGCTTGTGCTGTATTGCAAAGGATTTAAACTCGTACCCGTTGATTCTCTCTCTTCTGTTTTCTCTCTCTAAAATGTATCTTCAAAGGTGGACACAAGAAACATGTGAGACTACAAATGTAAGAACGAAAGTGAGAGAGAAATGGCAGAAACAATTAATGCTAATTGAATAGTAGAAGAAGGGTGTGTTCGGGTCGAAGCTCCAGTTGCTAAATTTGCCAACCATGACCCGTCATTGGACAACAATGACGTACCAGCCTGATCCGACCCATCCGTTGTACCCGTTGCTTTTGGTGAATCTTTCCAAGCTTTTTGACTGCATATTAAATTCAAATTAAAATACTTTATAAGAAGTAATACAAAAATTACTTCTAATTACTAAGAAGTAAAAGAAACGAAAACGAAATGATAAAAATGAGAGGATAAAAAGAGAAAAGGAAAAAGTAAAAAAGTAAAAACGAAAAGATAGTTTCAATCTTTACTTATAATTTGTACTTGAAAAATTGTCACTTATAAGAGAAAAGAAGAAAATGATTGTTTTTACCACTTTTCCATTTTTTTTCTTTCTTTCTTTGAAATCAAAAGGTTTAAATTCATTTTCATTCATATATATAACCGACTAAGTTCAAATTCGCTAAACTTTTAATTTTTCAATAATTAATAAAGTATGATTGGACAATAATACACTAACCTTGAAACACTATGACAAAATGTGATTCTATAATCTGCAGCTGTACACGTAAATGTACTCGTGGCATCATCATAAGCGTAGCTATACGACCTTGGACATGCCGACTTGAACATTTGTGAGTACACCGAAGGCGAGCAAGTGGACGGTGAGCCGTATGCGCCGTTGCAACAGTACTCCGGCGTCCCAAATGCCTCACATGCGCTCTTGCACGCCTCGCCGTTGCCAACCCTCAGTTCCGTCGGGCATTGCCGGTTCAGGTCCACCACACAACCCGTAGCTGCACACATACCCGACCCGCCCATCGCCTCCACTATCATCGGCACATTGTACCCGTCAACGAGACTGACGTCATAGAAGTCCTGCGAACCCGACCCAAGAGTGAACTCAGCGAGTGTCGCCGGCGGGGTTGCTCCGGCGCCGTTGCACTCAACCTCGCCAGAGCCACAATCGCCAGTGGAACATGACCCGCGACCCGACCCGTCGAAGTTGCAGCCGGTTCTGCCCCAGAACCTGCCGGACCAGCCAGTTGGAGCTTGAAAGCTACGTGAACCGCCTTTTGTCAGCTCAAAACCTGTGCTGTCTAGGTTTGGACTGCCTAGAATTCCAGGCCACAGTGTGAAGTCACACTTGTTCACAAATGTAAATGTTGATCCTGAAACACCTGCAATAATTAACCATATATATATATCTATAAGTACGAATGTCTATATAAGCGATCAAATGTGCAAGTGATGGGAACCGTCTGATGCAGCATATTTATATATAGTTATACTTTTAATTGAAAATGCGTGTTACCTTTAGAAATGAAGAGCACAATTAGGCTCAGAATTGTAGCAGATACAAGGGCCATTTAAGTCTTTTGGCTGTTGATTGAAAATGGTGTCTATTAAACCTGTGATTTATGGATAAAAATGAAGATGGAGAGAAAGAACTGTCAGAGAAGGAATGCAGAAGAAAATGGGGCTTACCACGCCCATAAAACAGCAAAATAAGACTACCACCACCACTCTCTCTCTCTCTCTCTCTCTCTATATATATATATATATATATGTATGTATGTATAGATAGCGGGAAGAAGCTAGAAGGGGATTGAGTGGTATTGTGGTCAGTGGTGGTGGGAATCTTAATTGTCTGCAGTGGGGTTCAATTTATAGAGAACAAGTACTTTCTGGTAGGGACAGTTTTGCCCTCTCACTCACTAAGGCCCAATGGGGTTTGTATTTAGTGACACTCCCACTAGAGTGAAAATTTGTGTTGGGCAAATTGATTAATTAGTAAAATAATTAATTACCCACAAAAGGTGAATCTTGTGGACTCTATTAATGTTGAAATCAAACTCTCAATGATTGTTTTTCAATGTTGAATTATATATTAAAAGCTTTTACACCTTCTTTAGATTAAAGGGAAGGGAAAGGAGTGAAGAAGGAGATGGATTGTCCTATACTTAATTTAATAAGGAAAGAAGAGGATTAGGGAGGAAAAAAAAAAGAAAAAAAAGACTTCTTCGTAATATTAAGTTACCGACGTATCAACCAATTATATCTTGTCTTATAAATAAAAGTGTATTTAGTTCGGTGAGTTCTATCACTATAACTCAGTATTTAATCAGATGGTGATACTATATATAACTCAGTATCACTATAACTCAATATTAGGTCACCGACATATCAACCAATTATATCTTGTTTTATAAATAAAAGTGTACTTAGTTTAGTGAATTCTATCACTACAACTCACTATTTAATAAAATGGTGATACAACATATAAAATATAAGAAGCATTAAAGTATTTTTTGATTAAGAGGATGTTTTAAATGAGAGAGTTTGTTACTTAAAAATTCTATTATTATAATTTTGTGTAGTCCATTATTATAATTATTTTACTTAAACTTATCAACCTAAAAGAATAAGATCAGATAGCTTAATTAGTATTCTTGTAAAATAACATAAAAAAAAATCTCAAACGAAATTATTATAATTTACCTAAAATTATTGTAATCGACTTATTATTTGATCATTAATAGTGTATTATTTTTGGATTATAAACTTTGGAGTTAGAATCTGTAGGACATTATTGGCAGCCGTTAAATTTGTCGTGTACCTAAATAATTTAGGGATGAGCATCATAGCAAGAAGCTCAGTGCAAAACCACGTGGATGTATGTGATTGGATAATGGGGATTACGAGGACACACGTGTCAACTGATATACAGTACACAGGAGTAGGACATATCACTGTCAAAATCGTCGACAATCACGCCGACTGTTTCTCGGTGCCGAGTCTCACCGACTACTGTCCAACTCCTTTACGGTATTACCTGAATACCCGTGTGCTATGCCGCAGACGATTTCTACACCTTTACCTTATACGGAGTATAGCATTGTGTTTAGATACTAAATACAATAATAAACTTGGTTAAGGATTAATTAATTAGAACCTTCCAAAAAATTAAAAAAATATATATATATTCCACATCACCCTAGAAAAGAAGTGGACCCCACATATAGAGTGAGTATGTCACATGACGCATTGGTTGGCATTAATTTGTTTAAATTGAGTTATTTGGAAAGATGAAGTTGATACATAAAGGTTATAATAGTCTATAATGATGGAAAGATAATACAAATGGATAAAGGTGATTTCTAATGAATTATTGTTGTAGCAAGAAATAAATATTTATGTTATACCTTTCTTTACCTCAAACTTTTTAAAGTAATGCTTGCAAAACTTGTAATTGAAGTTAGGAAAAGGGTATGTACAACACAACTATTAGAATAAATTCTTTGATTCTCCTCACGTCTGACAACATGTGGATACAAGTGTAGTTACAAATGAAAAGAAGGGCATAAAAGCAAAACATATGCTTCATTTTACAAAATTAAAAAATATAATGAAAAATTTATTTAGTAAGACTTATGTTACTAAATAAATTTCAGCTTCATTTGAGTAGCATTGAATGAGAGTGGGCAAGAGTAAGTTAGCTCTATTATAATTTGAAGGTAATGTAGAACTGATTGTCTAAGCTTGTTTGGATCGTCGGGAACCAAACAGGCATGCTGACAAATTTTTTGAGCTGATTTCAAAATGTTCGTTTTTTTACCCCACATGAGAGCTTTTTCTCCCTAGAAACAGCCCAACAAGCAAGACCATGCTATGCAATGATGTACGACGTTTTTCTGCAAAACACCATCATTTAGGACCTCAAAATGTGTTTTTCTGCATGTCTTATAAAAAACTTATCGAATATTTCGAGATTTTTGTTCGTTGCCTAAACCAACTCGGATTGCGCTCATATTTTATATTTAATAATTTTATTTGATTAGATTTTTTTCTCTATTTTTTCAGAATTTTAGAAAAAACTTTATTTTTAAGCTTATTTTCGATTATTATATTATGTTTGTTTGGCTGTAAAATAATTTCAGAAAATATGTTTTATTTTCTAGTATTTGGTTGTCGTAAAATATTTACGAAGAAAAAAATATATTACAATATAACAAAAATAATTTACCCATCAATTTTAGGCAAGTTATTTTACATGCCGGCCCGATGGGTTCAACCTCAACCTCGACCTACACCTTTGTCAAACACAAAAAAAATAAAAATAAAAATATATATATATTTTACCTGAAAAAAGAAAATCTTTTCAAAAAAAAAATATTTTACGTCCAAACAAACATAACCTTCCTTTCGAGATTAAATTTCCTTATGTTATAAGGCTTTGTATTGCACTTAGTTTGCTTATGAATTAAGGTTTTATTTCATTATAAATATATGTAATGCAAATAAAAAAATCATTTATTTGATTATCATTACAATTATCATATTTCTTTTAATTTATCTATTACTTTGTGAATTCAATGTAATCTTGCGAGTAATTTCTCTTCAGACAGAGATAAGGATACATATACAATGTTAAAAGAGAGCCTCGTGCATGTGCTAACCCTTTTTGACTAGCATTGACTACTAACTAATCCGATAGCCAACTTAAAATTGAGTTCTCATTCAAAAGATGACTTGTCCATAGACAAACAATCAGATCATATGTAGCTTTTCTGATCTGCAACTCTACAAGTTTCTACAATTGTGTTTAGAACATGTGACAATTGACAAAGACAAAAAAAGAGAAGTAAAAAGAGGTTGTCTATGGCAATCAGTTCCACATGGATGATGTCTGAATTGCAACTTTCTACATGGATAATGTCTCAATTTTCGTGTAGATAGAGATGCATGTCTTCTTTATCTAAATAGCACACCTAGTCCACACTTGCATGTGCAACTTATATTCATGTCCTTGCTGACTTTACCAATTCTTTGCATTTGAGGCTTCATGTCCTCTAGCTTTTTAAGCAAGCACATTGGTCTGGCTTTGTATCGACAATGGTTAATTTCCATCATATAAGATGTCTTTACAGTGAATATATCAATAAAAACGTAGATTGTAATATGTTAATTCTGGACGTGAATTGTCTCAATAATTATAAATATTACTTAGCTAGGCTATGTTCGACAATATATAATTGAAGCTTTAGAATTGAAAATTCTTCAATTTCACAGATTCTAATTTCAAGACTCCAATTTCATGCATCGAGCATAGCTTCAATTCTTTTTACACCCATAATTATTGAATCGATCACTCAAATCAGCATTCTAATCAAATCCTTCCAACGACATGTCTCAAGAAAGTCAGCAATGAACATGTAAAATTGTTGTTCGATGTGTGATAAATGCCAAAGCTTAAATAGAAAAATAAATAAATGACAAAGAAAGAATGGTTGGTAAGAATGTGACAGGAGTCCAAACATAAGTTGCCATTAGGTCTAACATTACTGAACAGTTGAAGACATCTTCTTTTTTTTGGAATTCAGCGTCCTTGCTCACCTTACCATGTTGCGTGGCTACTATCAATTTTGCGCTATACAAGCAGTTATGGTTTTAAAAAACGCTTCTACACAGTTAAGAGACGTAACCTATAAATTACAACAACTTCTCACTCAGACTATATAAAAATGCCACAATATTTTGTCTTGTTTAGCAAAGTTATTACACACTAACCATTCTTCCTTTGAATAATTGATAATGAATGGTGATAATTCGCTTCAACCTATCAAAAGATTTACATTAAAAATTATGACAACATATGATAAGGAGACTACCAATACTTTTTTCTCCTTTTCAAAATCGATACTTCCATCAACATCTTGAGCATCCATTGATGCATTATTCATGTACGTGTAAAGAATCATGTAGATAAGTTTTTATTTTTTATTTTTTTAACTTTTGCTTTAAATAAGCATCATTTCTAGCTTTTGTTTTCTAACTTTTTCCATTTTTTGCCCTGATCACATTGCATTCTCTTGTTCTTTAATAAAGATTTGTGTCACCCCACTATACTATTTTGATAGTAAAAACATTCTTTCTGAAAAGGGTATGAAGAATCCTTGTTTCTTAAGCTTTTTCTTTATCAAATTAACTTGTTTAATAAGCCAAAAGGCTTGTAGGATACGATTAATGATGAAAAGAGGTTATGACACTAATATTGGGATATTATGACAAATTAGTCATGAAGAAGAAGAATTAAAAGAGGTTTAGATTAAAAATAGAATCATTTGTGTAAGAGCAACCATATTAAAGGAGGTCAAACAAGTGGGATGCAAACAAGGAGGGGGCAAAGTGGTGTGGACTCCTGGCTTTTGTTTTTGCCTTATCAAGATCTGATGTGGTGAAAGTGCCTTTTATCTTTGTATATTAATTCATATCTTAACATTTATTGATTGACAAAAGTTAGTTCATATTATATGATTGTGTATGCATTTCTAGCCACAAATTTGTTTTTGATTATGATAAATTGGAGAAAGTCTACAATACTTTCGTAATATTGTATACATGGTATTCTCAGTCAATGGACATATATAGAAACTCTCAATTTATCTTGATATACAATAAATTGAGAATTTTTATATTTGTCTATTGACTGGAAAATCAATGCACAGACATAAAAACTCTCAATTTACCTTGATATACGAGAATTTGAGAATTTTTATGTCTGTTTATTGGCTGGAGTACCACGTGTAAATACCCGAGCTATTGTAGATTTTCTCGCTAAACTGAAA